GTGGGGGGGGGGGGGGCAGGGGGACGTACTCTTATGTTTTGCATTCCTTAGCGGTTAGACCATTGACCACGCGTCCTCGAGGGGACGGAGCGTTGTTCCCACGGGACCGATCACCGATGGCCAATCATTCCTTCCTACTTTGCCAAAGGTGGCTCACTAATGTTTTATACTGTATCCTGTCTGTCCTATCGATATCACTTCCCGCCTATTCAGCTCACATCCTATGCCCCAGTATAGGTACGCCCTCTCCTGGCTTTGTCATACCTCAAACATCTCTCTGTACCTTCCTTCTGCTTTTCCCGGCTCATTCATTTGCGTTCTCTCTCTTTTTCGAAGAACGGACATTCTGCAGCTTCACGACCCCGGTCTTCGCACTCGGAGCTGCATTCACATTTAAACATGTCGACGTCATCGTCTACCTTCCTTAATATTCGTCTAAGTTCTCGAAAGCTAATGTCCCCAGTCCTAAATTGACCTCCAGCTTTGTCCCTGCGTCCATTGGTCCATGTACGTGCTCCTTGAACCATATTTCTTCTTTCAATATTCCGTACACGTGTAAATCCTCTTTTGTCCTTGGTTCCAGAGTTTGTTCTTCTCTCTCTACAAAAGCACAGAGGTATCTTGTTCTCGAACCCCTTTAGGCCTACCGTTTTCAACTTCGTCGAAGTCCTTCCATACATGATCTACGGCCCTTAGCCCACGGGACCCGGGGGGGGGGGGGGGGGGACCCCTGTTTTGCATGCCTTAACCGTTAAACCCTTTACCAAAAAAGGACCGAGTATTGTTCCCCCAGGAACAAACCCCTATGGGCAAACCTTCCCCCCCAACTTGCCAAAGGGCGCCCAAAAAAATTTTCCCCATCCCGGCCTTTCCCCAACGGGGGCCCAATTGGTTTTCCTTAACCTGGCCAACCCGGCCGGGGGGGGGGGGTAACACAGGAAAAAGGGGAACCCCCCCTGGTCCCGGTTCAAGAAGAAAAAACCGGGGAAAACCCCCCCCGGAAAACTAAGCTTTAAAACCCCGAAAGGGACCACCGGTTTCTGACGGTCCCCTACAAAAAAAAAAAAAGCAAAAAAAACGGCGGGGGGCACTGGAAACCCCCCGAAGGGGTTTTTCCCCGAAGGGGCCAAAAAAAAACCCAAGGGGGCCGGGAAACCCCCGAACTTTAAAAGGTTTAGGTTATTT